CATGGTAAATAAAAAATACTAAAATACTGCACTCATAAATATATGACTATAAATTTAAATAATCAAATATGTTTGCTGATTAAAAGTAATACCAAATACAAACTGAAATGAAATAAAAAATACTAAAATATTTCAAACACATTCGAATGTGTGACTCGAGATAGTTTTGTGAATTAGTACAGCATACCCCATGATACCCTGTGCATATGCATACATACAATATACCCTGCAATCGCAAGTGGCATAGCTTAGCTATAGTTATGCTCTAGCTATAATATTTATGGCCATATTTGCTTGGCATTCTTACAATGGAACTGACATGAAGCTCCATCAGCCATTTAACAATTAGTCAACTATTCATTCGCTCACTCTAATGCTAACTCTATCTCTCTCTCTCTCTCTCTCTTTCTTTGCAGGTAAGCTTTGAATGAATATCTCAGCGTCGCATCCGCAAGTCGTCAGCGACTTTTAGTGCTCGACTAACTATTTATAAGGTAATTTGAGACGCGCTTAGCAACAGCCAACGGAATTCTTTAAATGACAAGACATATAAAATTTAATAGCTTGTAGCCTGGGTAGCACTTCAAGAGCCAGCCCGCTCCTCCTGCTGCTCCTCCTGCCCCACCTCAGCACCTTTTTGAGCTGCTTCTGCTGCTGCTGCGATGTTCGTGTTCGTGTGTCCCTTTGGCGGCTTTTGTTTACCTTTGAGCTGAGGTTTGTCTTTGTGTGCCCTCGTTGTTGATTTTGTGCGCACGCCGCTGTCGCTACTATAAATAGGGATATACACACATAGCTGCACTGAGCGAAAAATGTGGGGACTGCCCAAATGAATTGAACAGCATACCTGAAGCCGCAGGCAGACCAAAAGAAATGTTTAGAGCATTTCTAAATCAGGTCTGCAAAACGAACTGAAGAATTTCCTCGCAGTGTATGACATATTTTAAAATATGTTTTGCGTAATGCCCAAGACAACAGCAAAAGCGAACAAAAAAAGACAACAAACTGTTGTCCTTCTACTTCTTCTTCTTCTTCCTTCTGCTTTTTTTAATAGTCTTAAATTCCTGAGCAAATAATTTGACAGCAAATAGAAAGCAGAGCTCGCGGGGGCCTGCTTATCAAATTGAGAATGATTTAATGAGTGACTGAATGAATGAGGGCTTTAAGCATTACCAAATCTGCTTGAATGACCGCCTCCTTATATATTATATAGCCGAAACTATTAAGATTTTGGGCCGCTAATAGATAATAAAATTTTCTATTATCTTTACGCATTTGTTGGAGAACTAATTTCCCCAACTTTTGCCAAATAGTGCTTACATTTCCTGTTGTCCACACACACACACACACATACACACTCACACTCGACGCTCGCACGCACACCCTAAAAATTAATGTTGCTGCATGTTCCGTTGTTTCACCACAAGCCCAAATGTAATTGAACAGCAGCTGCCACGCCCCCGCTGCGCTACGCCCTACCAATTGGTAGGTGTGGCTCAATGGGTCTAACGAGGCGCCCGAGCTGCGCTTGTCAAAGTTGGGGAACTTCTATTAACAATCTACTTTAAGACACATGCGACACACACTCACGGCGCTACCCCAAAACCCAAAACCCGAAACCCAAACCCAATTTGTATACCCTGTAGCGGAAGTGAAGTGGGAAGAGGGTATATTGGCTATGAGGAAAATGATGGACTGAAAAGTTATTTACAAAGTTGTCCATATAGATGTTTATATATGTATGCATACATGTATATGAGACTGCGAGATACCCTGTAAACATAACTGTGCTAGCAGGCAGACTCGATTAGCATTTAGCTGCGCTTTAGCTTAGTTAGATATGTTTATGTATATAAATTTAGAAATATACAGGGTATCTGTCAGTCTATTTACTTTCTAGACTTGTATTTTTTTTAGTACATTTTTGCGGCGTTGCAAATGTGATAATGAAAAAAGTTCAAAGGGGGGCACACACGTGTATAAATGTGTGTGTGTGCGTGTGCCTCTGAAGGGCTGTCAAATCTAGTAGTTAGGGCGTGTTATTGAAGGCGTGGCACTGTAATATAATGTGAGTGATTTGCCCAGATTGAAGTAGGAGTGAATTGTGGCGGTGGAGGCAAGGTAGAGAGAGAGAGGGAAGTGAGGGGGCTTAGCTAACGCTACTACGTGAGCTGACGACCGTAAAAAGCCGAAGAGATACTCTTGAGCGAAAACGAATGAACCGCTATTAACTGACGCTGATTGTGACGCAACCTGTGCCTGGCATGCCAAATGGAAAACTCGCCTGGCCCGTCTCTCTCACTCCCTCAGCTTCTGCCGCTCCCTTGCGCTCGCTTGTCAATACGCACATAACTCCAGTGAGACAAGCGTTTCCTTCGCTCGAGCTGGCAATTTAAATGCTTAAACATTTGCAACACGCCTCGTGGAGCTATTTCTGCTGTTTCTGATGCCAGAGCTTGGGTGCTACCGGATGCCGAATGCATTTCGAACCAGTTTTTGTCACACAACCGCCACCTGCTCTCTCTCTCTCTCTCTCTCTGTGTCGCTCTCAGGCATAAATCATATCGAAAGAATTTATGCAGGCAAATTCCGAGAGACAAACATGTTTGCAACAAGTTGCCAGCGGAAGTGACTAGAAAACTGTGTCTATGCAACTGATAAGTTTAATATATAGTATGTAGCTGCCTCTCTCTCTCTTTCGCTCTCCCTCACTCTCGCTCAATTGCTGGCTCGTTCTTTTTAATAAGGCTTGCTGCATAGGAAGTAATTTCTTTCAGTTTGACTTCCTGTCTTACGCGCTTGTTTGCGTGCATGCTAGAGTGTGTGTGTGTGTGCGTGTGTGTGTGCGTGTGTCTGTGTGATGTTTCTGTGCTGCAAAGGATGCACTTAATTTGGACTGTCTCGCTGCCTTGAGGCATGCTACTCAGCGCGTCTATCAATTGCTGCTTGCCACGCCTCGCTCGCTCTCTCGCTCTCTCTCTTTCTCTCCCTCTCCCTCTCCTTCTCTCTGTCTCGCTCAACTCAACTTCCGCTGTAAAAGCATATACAATTATTGGCAGCGCTTTGAATCCAGCAATATAAATTTGTTGGCTGTTAGCTGCCACGCCCACACGCCCCATGTGACATAAACATGCGTTTGCCAAAAACTTGACTTTGAATTTATGCGCGTTGCCCTCCCCTCTAAAAGAAAAAAAAAGAACAAACCTGTCGACAGTTTGCGCTCCAAGGTATGCAATAGTAAATTGGAAAGTGAGAGGAGTAGAGGAGGAGGAGGAGGAGAAGAGTGAACAGTGCAGGTGTATAGGTGTGCTTGTGTGTGTGTGCCTCACGATATTCGTTACAATTTCAGAGTTGGTTTTCGCACCTACGCAAAATTTACGACACTTTTAAAATATGCAATTTATGGATGCTCTCCGGATGCTGGCTGGCTGCCTGCACGCCTGCCTGCCTGCCTGGCTGGCTGCCTGCAGGCGTGGCAGGTGGGCGTGACAGTGAAGGAAAAATCATGCGCTGCGCTTTTACCTTCATTGCCTTGAAGCTTACATAGTGCTTCCTCTTGCATCTTGATGCAGCGAAAATTTTAGACGAAAGGGAGCTTAGTTTGATATATGTATATATATTATATATATATGATATATATATTATATATATATGATATATATATTATATATATATGATATATATATTATATACAACATAATTGGAATTTTGGAAGATTTAAAAACTAAAAAGTTTACTAAACAAGAAAAAAAGAAAATTTTAATTACATTAATTTATATAAATAATACATATAAATGAATAAATTTATTTATTTATTTTCTAAATATTTTAAAATATTTTTTTTTGTTTAATTACATTTTATTTTTAAGAAATGAGACCTTACAAAGTGTTTATATAAATACATAGAGAAATGAATTTTTATTAAATAATTTATATATATCCAGCTTAGTATATGCCTTTGCCTTCAAACTAATATACCCTTTTCTGTATTGCGGGAAGGGAATACAATTTAAAATTTTCTTTGTCGAAAACTTTGCAAAAATAAATACGCATAAAATGCCACAGAAATATGCAAATGATTAGGTGACAAAATGCACGCACATATACACACACACACACACAGACAGTGCACACATGCACAAACACTCACACACACACACACACACGCGCGCTGTTATTGAAACGCAAGCAAAGCCAATGCCATTTGTTGACCACAAAATTTGTAACTGACATTTGCTCGAGGGTGGCGAAGGCGGGGGCGGGGGCGTGGGCGTTAGCTCGTGCAGCTGCAGCTTTATATATATTTGTGCTTGGTGGGCGGGGGCGTGGCAGTGCCTAAAAGCATGCTCTAAATAATTGCAATTCATTTGTGCTGCCATCATGTGACATGTGTCAGCCGCTCTCCCTCCCCCTCGCCCTCTCTCTCGTACTCTTATCTCGCCATCTCTTTCTAGTAAATATGCTCATGTTATTAACGCCACAAAAACGCAAAATGTAACTGCAACTGCACTTTAGTGCGGTGGTCTGGCAACCCTCTGATTGACAGCATGCTGCCAGAAATGAACCGCATCCCAGCTCCCACCTGCTATCCCATCCCCCCTCCAACCGCCCCGCCTATCCGTTGATCCCTCGTGCAACGGCTGTGGGTTTTGTTTTTGGTATAACTGTCACACGAAGCGCCACTTATGCAATTTTGACGCCCACAGCAACAACAATTGATGGCAACACCTGCCTGCCACACGATGCTGCCTCACAATATCCGAGCGACACACGCTGCGTATGCGTGATGAGTATTTGCCATTGGCCAGCCAAATAGTCGACGCAGCAATACCCGGTACATGTATATCTGTATATAGAGAGAAATACTCGAGTCTATGCAGAATTTCAATTCCTAAATAGTTGAACTTTCTTATCTCCATTGATGCACTCTCAACTATTTGGCTTAGCGTCTGAACTTGTGACTCCCGCCTAGGGCTACAGCAGAGCAAGCCTCTTCTCCTTCCACCTTCAAGCCGGGGCGAAAAGTAATTTTCATGGCCGCGGCTTAAAGGCTTGCCAGACTGTCGCAATTCCATGTTAATCTGTGCCCCTATTTTGCATAATGTTCAGCGCACTCGTTGCACGATCCGTAACTCCTGCACAGCCCCAATTTGGACCAGGTTTCTCTTAAGATATTTTAGGCAATGCTTGGCTGACGCGGGCCATGAGCATAGTTAGGCATAATTTCTTCCTTTTTTTTCGAATGCTGTTTGCTCTGGCTATTTCTTGTTTCTCAAGAACTTTTCACAGTTTTAGCGGCGTTTACGCCTTGCTCTTTTCTTTCTCTTGGCTGCTTTTTGGACATTTTTTTTTGTGTTTTTAGTGCGGCTCTTTTAACAGACTTAACGCTTGCCTTACCAGCTGCGGGCTTAACGTGCTGCACTCTATTAATATACCCTGTAACTGGGGAATGGACTCTGCGGGCAAGGTGTGTGTAGAGGAAATGAAGATGAAATGGAAAATTGGGTTGTAGTAAATGAGAGAGCTGGAGAAAATTCTGTTAATTGAAGTTTAAAGAGGAATTGCAAAGAAAATAAAAAGAGAAATTTATAATTAGAAAAATAATTTTTAATAATTTTTAATAAATTTATAATGTTGTATTGTTTAGATTATTATGAATTCGATACAGAAAGAAATTGTAGTATGCAGTTTAGTGTATCTGAATACAGTTAATGAAATCAAATTATAATTTACTAAATGTAGAGGCGGTTGATAAATACTATTTCATAGTAAATAAATATCATGTTGACTCAGGTTGATATATATATATATATATATATATATATATATCGTCATATCACATACCATCTTAGGCTTAGCCATATGTCTTATAATATCCCATTTCCAATTGATTGATGGATCGCATTGATCCTCATATGCCAGCCCCTCTCTTAACTCTCTCTGGGTATCTCTAGCTGGACTATGCTTGCACTTGCATTTATTTTTAATCGCGCTGTTGTATTAACGTGCCACATATTCCATGCTAGAAGCACTTACAGCTCCACGCATTCCCGCTCTTTGTCTATAACAACAGCTATTTTTAATGAGCAGCTGAGCTGAGTTGCTGAGCGGCCCTTTAAGGGGTTAGCCTAGCCTAGCCCATGCTAGCTTCTGTTCGGGCTATGCAGCTCGTTTTATAGGGAGAACAAAAGCGCGTGGCTGCAGAATGAATACGGCAAGCTGAGCCGCTTTTTATAGCAATTAAAAAGCAGTTAATCCACAGCCAAAACCAAAAGAGAAAAACCCTCTCGGAACGAGCTATACTACAATATAGTATGTATATAATATATGTACTTATCTGCTGCTGCCTCGCTGGTAACATAATGAAATTTATTTTGCGTTTTTATCAAATTGAAAACAAGCAAGAAGAAGAAAAAAGTGTAGATGCTATTAAAGCAGCTTAGCAAAAATACATAGTTAATTTTTTTGACCAGCGCGTATATTTGTTGCTTTTATTTTTGGCATATTTTTAGCTGGAATTTTTTTCGCTTTTGCCGGCTCTACGCCTGGCGCCATGCAACACTTTTTAATTGCGTCCCAAATTGGCTAATGCAAAAGAGTTGGAAAAAAAGGCCGAGGGTGCGCAAGAGCGGAGGGGGCGAGGAAGAGCAACCGTGGCAAAGCTAAGCTGCTTACATAACAGGCCAATGCAATCAAATTGTCTGCTGCAAAAACAAAATTAAAAAAAAGCAATGAAATGAAAAAAGGATAAAAAAATGATAAGCTGAAATAAATAAATAAATAGCGCACTTAGGCATTTCGTTCTACGAGCCAATGTTAGTTACTCGCCTTTTAACTCACTCTACTAGTCTTTCTGTCTCTCTCCTTTTCTCTCTCTTTCTCTGTCTGTCTATTTTCATTGCAATTTTACATTGCATTTTGCAGCTCAGCCAGCAAATTATTTGATGAGCAGTAAAGGCTTGTATTGCTTTACAGCTGTAAAGCTAAATTTTGGACTAAATTGAGTTTACAATTTAGAACTTTTCCTGGAACTAAGATAATTATGAAATTGATTGGATTTCTGCAAAAATTGAATCGGGTTTTCTCTGGGTATGAGTGCATTAATATAATTAGGAATTAGATTTAATTTCTGCAAAATTAAATTAAAATGATGAATATACTCAATTATTATATATGTAAAGCTGAGAGTCTAAAAATATACTGAAGCTTAGGCGCTAAGCTAATATGGGTTTTCATATTATATAATTACAATAAGTACTCTAAGTACCCCTATCAGGGTATTTCGTAGTCAATAATTGCCAACTTCAATTTTATTTTTTTTTTATTTTTTTTTTTTTAGTTTTATTTTTATTATCCTGCGGCTTGGCATCTTGGGAATTGTAGTTTGTTTATTGTGCAAAGTGCAGAGCCCAGGCCCAACTCACACACATACACATACACACACAGAGTAAACGTTATTTAGAGTAGATTTCAATTAAATATTTATGACTTACTTAGCTTAATTGCTTCAATTTGTAGAATTTAAAAGTGAAAGAAATGAAAACGATATACATATGCATGAAAATAATGAAATGCGCTTTTGGATGCACAAGCTGTTGCCACATCCGCTTACAATTTGCTAGGCATTAATTATACATATTACACAA